CTGTCTTGCACGGGGCGGGCTGGCGCCTATTTAATATAAATTCTGTCCGTCCCCGTGACTGGGTCACCGAGCCTCACCCTGTGGTCTTGATCGGTCCGATTGAGTCAGCCGGAGCGAACCCCTATACCGATCTCCCACTGGTGGAGTCGGGGAGGATGTTTCAGTGGCGTTCCCAACGTGTGGCCCAGTAAGAATTGCTATTCTATGTGGATATAGTTTTTGTATTTATTCAGTTAATAGAATTTTTAAGTTTTTTTTTTTCTCTCATTGCTATTAATTAAAACTACTAAATTTAGTTTTGTTTTTAAAGTTTGTTTACAAGTATAAGTTTCTACTTTATTTTATTTTTGCTCTTTAGTATAAATAGTTACTAGGTTTATGCTTAACATATATACAATAGCTAAACTTATTGCTTAATAATGTATGTTTTAATTTATCATTGAAACAATGTTTATCTTTTAATTTTATGCAGGTAATATGGCTTTGCTTTCTTTCTACTTCACAATTTACACTTTGGAAATTTAATGAGCTTATTGTTTTGATGACTATACAAATTAATTCTTGCTTTAATATTGAGGAATAAGCTTAATAACCTCATGTAGCTAAGTGATAACTCATATAAATGTTTTGCTTTGTGTACACTAAATGCAAATGTTAACTTTTATTATAGGTGTTGCATTTTGTTACTTCTTAAGAAACAAATATTGCTAATTTCTTTATTTGCATATAAGAGATGTGTTGAATATTATGAATTGTAATTGGAATTTGAAGGGAAGTTTCTTTTTAAATATTAGCTTGTCTTAATTCTAGAACAATTGGAACTATGCTGTTTTGCAATATTGAAACTTAATGGTTTAATATATCATGAAACATGTGCTTGCTGACTATTTACTCTTTTTCTTAACTTATTTATCTTATGTTTAATTGCAAGAAAAGTGACTTCACTTTGTACCCTGCGCCTGTCAGTTTTTTGTGTGGAGTTTGATATTTATTTATTTTTTTGTTTGTTTAACAATTTTTTTTTCTTTGAACAATGTTTGTTTTAAATTGATCTGCTTTAAGTATCTTATCTTAGTTAGTTTGTTTTTTTGAATTATTTGTTTTAAATTAACTTTCTTACTAGAATTAGTTTTTTTTTTTAATGAAAGTTTTTTTTTAGAAGTTTTGTTTTGGTCTTAATTTAACAATTTACTTTTCTTTAGTTTTAATTTTTTTTTTTAATTAATTCATTTTAAGATTATACTTTTTTTTATAAATATAAGTGGTGAATATGGCGGACTTAGGTTGTAATGTAAACTTTTTAACTAAAGATGAGTTGGCTCATGAACTTGCTGCTCTTAAATTGCCTATTAATCCGGGTAGTAAGTGTGAAGACCTTCGCAAGTACCTCAGGCAAACCTGCAAATTGACCCGTCGTGGTAGCCTTAGGCTTCAGTCTGATTCTGCACCAGCCGACCTCAACAATGAGCTGAAGGTTTTGACGTCCAAGGTCAGTGAGGTTGTCAGTTTGTTGTCCAGTGGCGAATGCACCGAAGCGTCACGTACCCGGTTAATTGGGAGAGTCCACTATTTGCTGAAGCGTCTATCTAGGATAGAAAATCCATCTAGTGAGTTCGAACAACTTAAAGCTACCTTAGTTAAGTGTCTTTCTGAGTGTGGTGCAACTTCGGCAAGTTCTTCCGATTCAGAGGACGAAAAGCCAAGTACCCGCGTAGATAGGACGATTATTTGTCAAACGCCGCAAACATATAATTTATTTTCTTGGAATCTTAAATTTAATGGAAACTCTTGCGTTAGAACTTTTATCACACGTCTTCAGGAATTAAGAATAGCTAGGAAAATTCCCGTAGATGTTGTTTTTGATGGTTTTGTTGATCTCTTGGATGGCCCGGCATTACATTGGTACCGTGCTCATAAAAGTAGTTTTTTCTAATTTATCAGAATTGTTAGATCAGCTGAAGGAAGACTTCGACCTTCCTGATTATGATTACCGGCTGCGTAGGGAAATTGAATCCCGAACGCAGGCTAAAAATGAAACCATAGTTGTTTACCTTTCGATTATTTTAGCTATGATGTCGCGCCTTTCCAGAAGCCTTACTGAAGAGGAAAAGCTAGATATCATATTAAGGAATATTAGACCGGAATATAGTTCACCTTTGGCGCTTACTGAAGTTAAGTCCGTCCAACACTTGAAAGATGTGTGCAAGAAGTTGGAATTGGCATCGATTAGGAGTTCTAATTTTTCGGAACCGACATTTAATCCCGATACAGTAGCCCTTGATCTTTCTCCTAGTCCTGCTATCGCCGCGAATACTCGTATGAGGCCAAAGGAAGGTTTTAAATTCCATAAATCTAAATGTCAATTATCTTCCGTTGAGGCTAGCTCTCCTCGTTGTTTTAGGTGCCACAAAACCGGCCACGTTTCCCGCTACTGCCCTTCTAATAAGGACGTTGTTTGTTTTCGCTGTGGTTTAAAGGGGGTTAAAAGCCCTGAATGTAAAAATTGTAACGGACCAAAAAACTAATTAGGCCAGTCTCTCCGAAGCCATCGTATGGGGAGACTGAGTACTTTAAACCTTCCACCAGAGAAACCAGACCTTTCTTAACGGTCAAAGTTTATGGAGTTGGTGTCTCTGGCTTGCTTGATTGCGGAGCTAGTTGTTCTATATTAGGCTCCGAGGCTTATCGGTTATTTTGCAAATTACATATACCTATTTTGAAATTTGACAAACCTAGAATTCTCACGGTCGCTAATGGCACGGAAGTTATTTGTACCGACTATATGGACGTTCCGATAGAATATAAGAATTGTGTAAAAATTATTAAGTTTTATGTTCAACCAGACATTAATTTGCCAATACACTTTGGTATTGATTTTTGGAAAGCTTTTAGTTTAGCTCCTGATATATTAGATTGTATTCCTAGTGAACAATGTAACCTTAATGTCGATAGTTTGAGCAAAGTACCCGACAATGGTTTGCGCGATTACAACTCTTTGTCACAATCGCAACGTCTCCAAATTGAAAAGATCAAGCAACTCTTTGCGAATATCGATACCGGCAAAGTAGGGTTGGGTCGTACTCATTTGATCAGTCACAACATTGACACGGGTGATGCTAAACCGATCAAACAAAAAATATTATCGGATGAGTCCAGAACGACTTAAATTCTTAACGGCTGAATTAGATCGAATGTTACAGCTCGATATAGTGGAACCTTCGAATTCCCCTTGGAGCTCTCCTGTTACCATGGTACCTAAATCCAATGGCGACTTGCGTCTTTGCTTGGATAGTAGGAAAATTAATTCGGTTTCTAAGTCCGACGCCTATCCTTTGCCTTATATTAATTATATTTTAGACAATCTAAGGGATGGAAAATATCTTACCTCCCTCGATCTTAGCGCTGCTTATCATCAAATTCCTCTTACCTGTGAGTCCAAGGAGAAAACTGCGTTTACTGTCCCTGGGAAAGGACTCTTTCAATATAAAGTAATGTGTTTTGGTTTAGTTGGTGCGTCTGCTACTATGCAAAGATTAATGGACAATTTATTTCTGCTGAATTTGATAATAAGGTATTCTGTTATATTGATGATATTATTATTTGCTCTAATACTTTTGAGGAGCACGTTCAGATTTTGGAGAGAGTGTATAAAAAATTGCAAGAGGCTAATTTGACTATTAATATGGAGAAGTCCCTGTTTTGCAGAAGAGAGCTTAAGTACTTGGGCTATGTAGTCGATCAATACGGTTTGAGGACGGACCCTTCCAAAGTGGACGTTATTATCAATTTTCCTCCGCCTAAAAATTCGAAGGATATTAAAAGATTCTTGGGAATGGCGGGTTGGTACCGTAGATTCATTAAGGACTTCTCTAAAGTGGCTAGACCTCTCTCTCGGCTGACGAGTAAGAAGGTACCATTCTCTTGGTCGGCGGAAGCAGAGGAAGCCTTTCATTCTCTCAAGACCGCTCTAGTCTCGGCACCGATATTGCGTTGTCCCAACTTTAGCGAACCTTTCTATATTCATGCGGATGCTTCATCTTTTGCTATAGGTGGAGTGTTAACTCAAAAGGTGGACGGTGTGGATCACCCTATAGCTTACTGTAGTAGGACTTTGAATGCCCAAGAGGTTAATTATTCGGCGACTGAACGCGAACTGCTTGCTGTTATTTATTCGCTAGAACAGTATAGGTGTTACGTTGAAGGCGTCAAATGTTTTATTGTTACCGACCATGCTTCTCTGAAGTGGTTTCATAGCTTGAAGAACCCTTCGGGACGTTTAAATAGGTGGGCATGTCGGTTAAGCCAATTTAATTTCGAAATAGTTCATAAGAAGGGCAAAGAACATATAATACCGGATTGCCTTTCTCGCGTTAAAATTAATTCCGTTGAAATACGCTTAGACGATATTGATGATCCTTGGTATCTTAGCTTGGTTAACAATTGCAGTAAATATCCTCGTAAATATCCCAACTATCAGGTGATTGACAATAGACTGTTTCGGTTGTCCAAGAATAAATATAACCTTACGTCACAGTTTGATTGGAAATTAGTAGTCCCTGCTGGGAAGCGATCTGAGATACTTCAAAAGTATCATGACGACCCTTCATCTGGTCATTTTGGGGTAGCTAAAACGCACAAAAAGATAAGTTCATTGTATTTCTGGCCTTCTCTATTTAATGATGTTAAGTCGTACGTTGGTGCGTGCGAAGTATGCAAGGCTTACAAGCCGGTAAATACTCTTCGTCCCGGTTTGATGGGCAATCCGCGCCAGATAACCAAACCCTGGGAGGCTATCTCCTGCGATTTCCTTGGACCATTTCCCCCATCTTATAATAGGAACCAATATCTTTTTGTCGTGTCTGACTATTTCACTAAGTATGTTTTACTTTTCCCACTTCGGTCGGCAACGGCCAAAGCGGTTGTGAGGTGTTTGGAAAAGTATGTATTTCTTGTCCACGGTGTTTGTCGAATTTTATATACAGACAACGGTGCTCAGTTCACTTCTCGTGAATTCCGAGAGCTCCTGGCTGAGTATGGGGTTCCTCATATTTTATATAATCCTCGCTATCATCCTCAGACCAATCAGGCTGAACGCGTCAATAGAGATATAGTTAGAGCTATTGCTTCCTACGTGCGTTCTGACCATAGAAAATGGGACCAGAACATTCCGGAAATCCAATGTGCTCTCAACTCCGCTGTTCACGAAGGAACCAAGTTTTCGGCATATTATCTCAACCATGGGCGGGAAATTGTCACGGACGGTGCTGTGTATAATCCTCATGTACCTCTAGATGGAAAGTCTGTCACAGTTAATGTTGAGCCTTTTATTTCTGGTCTACCCAAGCTTAAGGAGGTTTATGAACGGGTTCAGAGACATCTACATAAGGCGTACCGCAGGAACGTGAAGTACTACAACTTAAGAAAGAGGCCATTAGAATTCAAGGAAGGTCAAATAATTTATAAAAGATGTTTTCCTTTGTCTAATGCCCCTAAACACTTTTCTGCTAAGTTATCTCCTAAATTTGAAAGGTGTGTAATTGATAAGAAACTGTCGCCATTAGTTTATTCTCTTAAAGGTCTAGATGGCAAACCTCTAGGAGACTTTCATATTAAAGATTTAATAGTTAGGGACTGACCTTACGTTTTTCTCTTTTTTTTCTCGGGAGTTTGGTTAGTGAAAAATTTTATTTAAAATCTACATTTTAAACTAAAATTTTTCTTCCCAGGAAAGATGGTACTGTAACACTTTTTTTTCTACGCCTCGTACCCTTGAGTTTCGAGTGGCTTATATTAGAGATTCTTAGTAGAAAATATAGCGACATCTGTTGTGAACAATACAATTTAGTCGAATGAATCCTTAGAAAATCTATATTTCAGTTATTATAGATGGCGCTAAGTCACCCTTGTTGTTTTGCCTTAGTTTATTTTCTTGGATTATTTCGGTGCTAGTGATATTATTGTCTCGAAATATAAAATAATATCATTTTAGTTATATTGGACTAATATCAAGCAAATTTGTTTTTACATAATTTTCGCTTAGAAACGTTGTCTCGTTTAGCATAGTCTATGTTGATGGTGTCATCTGTCGTTCCGAGGAGAACGGCGGTCGGTTTCGTCTTGAAGTTTGTTTGTCTTGTTGGAGCGTCTGGTGGCGACGCGTCTCCTTTCTAAGTAGGAGCATGTAGGAGAGGAATATGTGGCATCTTAGGCCACATCCGTTGACATCCTACTTGAATATGGCTTCTTGGCCTTTATATTTTACATAAAAAAACCCACATCGTTGGTAAGTTTCCTTTGTGCATATATTTTTGGGATCTGACTGTTTTCGGTCCATTGTTCGTTTGGTAACATTTCGTATTTTGTTACAGGGTTTTTTTTTTTTTTTATCTTATTCCTATTATTATTCTACTTTATCTCGCTGAGCTGCTTCTCTCTGATGGCTTGATATCGAACCACGCGTTCGCCTTGTATGCAACTGCATATATATTAAGAATCTGAGGTCCTGCTGTCCACGTGCAACTTGAAGCCGCGGACTAGCTGAATGCCCCTCGGTGGCATGTGAGGATTGCTGAGCTGAGGTCTTCACACTTATTTGGAAATTAGGAAGGCAAGCCTGGTTCCTTTCTGGTATGTTTTTGCTCTAATCTAAATCTAGCCATTAAACTGATGATTGTGTTTATATACTGCTTGTAACGGTGATTAATCTAATGTACTCTCAAATCTTAATCTTGATATAATTATGCCTGATTGGTGAGATCTCACTCCTTTGAATATCTTTAAATTGATATAGTTTAGTTTTATATTCAAACCTTGTATTAATAAACTCTAAAACTGTTAAGGAATATATCTTTTATTTCCACTAAGTAAATCCCTTAGAATAAGCATTATTCTGTCTTGCACGGGGCGGGCTGGCGCCTATTTAATATAAATTCTGTCCGTCCCCGTGACTGGGTCACCGAGCCTCACCCTGTGGTCTTGATCGGTCCGATTGAGTCAGCCGGAGCGAACCCCTACACCGATCTCCCACTGGTGGAGTCGGGGAGGATGTTTCAGGGGCACCGGCTTCCCACGTGACCTTTCTCAAGGCACCTATATGCAAGGGTCTGGGCTCCAATAATTCCACTCGAGCAAATCCCCACCCCACACGTAAACGCCTGGCTGCTGCTAACTTACGGACCGCCGTAATAGGGCATCGTACCCAGCACGTCCCCATGCTGATCGGAGATCGACGAAGCTCCCCAACCTTGACATCGTCAGCCGAACTAACACTCGCCTCCACGATCGCCGCTGCTAGTTCTGAAGGACCCACAGAGTTATCGAGGTCTCTAAGCCGGACGTCGCCCGTCTTTACCGGACGATTGACACGGACGTTCGACTCTGAGAGGACCTCACGCAGTTTAGTCGCCAGCTTATCCGTTTTCTGGCCACAGTCACTTCCACCGATCTCCATTAGAATTCCCCCTGTAATGGCACGCTTTTGTCGGATAACCTCGATTCCGAGTTCCCTAGCTGAATTTTTACTTTGGCGTCCTTCATTATGCTGCCATAGGTAGTGGTGGAACCCTCTCGTAAAGTAATTGTTACAGCCGCAGATGTTGGGGCACGAGCTGGTTTCCTTTTCATCTTCGTGGACTGTTCGTAGTACAGCGGCGACTTTTTTGTCGTCTGGTGTACTTTTGGCCTTTTAGCCACGTCTGCCCAAGAGTTTGTTACTGCAGACATAGAAGTTTGCAGCACCGGCTTCGCTACAGAAGGCAAATCTGCCACTGGTGGATATGTGGGCTTCTGCCGTTTCCTCGGCTCTTTTTTATTTTTCTTCTTTTGCGATGGTGTTTCGGCTGAAAGTGACTGCATCGGCGGTGTTAGTTGTTTAGTTATGTCTGTCATGGACTTCAGTCCCAGTGGTGGGCGTAGTGCCTTATAGGCAACAGCCGGGCTTCGAAAGCCGCCAATTTACTCTCAATTAATGCTCCAATACGTTCCATCAGTGCCTCCTCTCCGTTTTTGGGCACTGGAGCATCTGCAGTTGAATTAGTGACGCCGATTCTTTTATGCGTTTGTTTGCGAAGGTAATTAATTTCCTCCGTCAGTTTATCCGCTCTGTTGCTAAGGCTAGAAAGCGCTGAACGTAGTTCAGCATTTTCTCTCTCTAGTCTCGCGAAATTTTCATCAGTAGCGGACCTTCGGGCAAGCTCATCAGCCGCGGCTTTAACATTCCGCACGGCCAACCTTAGGCTCTGAACGTAGCTTCCCTTTAAATTGCGGGATCGGTTTGCTACCTCCTCAATGGCTTGAAGTTGACGGTCAATGTGTTCTTCAACCTTTCTGCCGGCCTGAGTTCGCAGCTCTAAAGCAAACTCCTGGCAAAGTTTATTTCGCCCTGGACTTCGATGATACACACACCAGGTCGGCAAAGTCCTCTTCCGTATCAATCTCAGTAGGCATATCCTCCACTTCAGTAGGGGTTGCCGAGGCAGAGCTACCGCGTTGTATTTAGCGGCCACCGATTTAACACTTGGAGCCTTTGCCTTTCTCTTTCGCGTATCCTCTGAAGCAACCGATGCGAGTGACAGCTGTGAACCATCAGACTCGGCTTCTTTTGGTTCTCCAGATTGAGCTAATCGCCCCGTCTTCCACGTCTTCCCCTTGAGTATCGTGCCGAGTTAATAGAATCTCCCAGCACGGCTCCCTCCTTACTTAGTTGTTCCCTGGATGTTAGGCGACCCGCGGACGATGTAGATGTATCGCCGCAAAACAGTGTGTTGCCCCCCCCAGATACGATGGGGCTACCTAGGCTAGGCCTAGGGATGGATTCTCCGGCATTGCCGGTACCACCCTGGGGTATTAGTATGTTACCCACTGTTTCCATGTTTCCTTTTTTACAAGGCTTTGGTCCCTGAATTTCCCCCCACTTCCCCCTGAGCGCTTGGCACGTGAATACCACCAGCGATTCACCCCATCGGCACGCTCGACCTTGGGTTGTGGGATTTTTTATAGAGGTTGCCTTCCTCATGGCCATTCATGGCCCCCGCTCCCGAAGGTTTACGGGTGGGGCGGTGTCGGTAATAACCGAAATGCACGTAGCATATCACCGCAGATGTCACGTCCGCTTTTCTTTGCAAAGGAAAGAAACATGGAGTGACATAGAGCCTCGAAGGCCCTCCTCGAAGGCAATCCTTTTCAGGATTCCCTCTAGGCCGTTTCTCGAATCTTAAAAGATTCGAGGGCGTACCCTCGAATCTTTAACCCCTTTTAACCCCAAACCCAGCCAGTTTTGGTCCACGACGGTTTTCCGCTACCACCCATATCTGGGTGGCATTCCCCTATCCACCTGGGGACGCGCCCGATGGGAGATCTGGCAACTCCTCACGGGAACTGGTAGTCGGCGAGTAACCTAATGGGTTACTCGCCGACTACCAGTTGTATCTGAACGAGGTAGCAGACTGTGTTCGCAGTTGCTCGCCTCACCCATTAATTGTTCTGGGAGACTTTAATGCCCACGCTAGGGAGTGGGGAAACCACAGAAACAATTCGAGAGGGGAGGCTATAAAAGAATGGGCGGCTGGGCTGGACCTCTGATTATTGAATCGGGGGTCCGATAGTACGATGGCAGGGAGAGTCGGTTGTTGACCTAACATGGACGTCGCCTTCTGCGACACAATTGATATCTAGATGGCGGGTTGCAGAGGAGATAGTCACGTTATCTGACCATCGTCACATCGTTTTTGACCTCGCTCCCCGCCGCCTTAATATTATGTCTAGTCGCCGTGATAGCAGCCCACCTCGTCGTTGGTGCCTCAAGCGACTAGATCGGGACCTACTTGAAGCTGCGGCCAACATTGCGGTAATGCCAAAAGACACCGAAGGAGTTTCGTCCGACCCGGAAAGGGAAGCAACCTGGTTGCGAGGCACAATGTCTCAACTTTGTGACATGTCAATGCCCTGGGTTAGTAGCCCCAAGCGTAGGGCCGTGTACTGGTGGTCGGCGGAAATATCGCGACTTCGGGCTGTCTGTCTGCAGAGCAGACGCCAATACACCAGAGCCCGAAGAAGAAGACGGGCAACGCCCGAGGAGACAACTAGTCTTTATATGGTTTATCGAGCGGACACGAAGGCATTGCATCTCGCAATAGCCAAAGCTAAGACGCGATCCTGGGTAGAACTCTTGGAGGGACTCAACGCAGATCCATGGGGGCGTCCTTATAGAATGGTGCTGGGTAAGCTTAGGCCCTGGATGCCTCCTCTGGCGGAAACGTTAGATCCAAACCTGCTGGGACCTGCTTGATCACTCAACACACTATTCCCGGCAGTTCGATCAAGTTCCTCAGACTCTCCTCTTTTTCTGTGGGATTGGCAAGATGACATGGGAGTGACTGTCCAAGAACTAAATCAAGCTATCGCCCGCTTAAGAGCTCAGAATAATGCGCCAGGACCAGATGGAATACCAGGTCGGGTCTGGGTGCTGAGTTTAAATGTACTGGGGGACAGAGTGAGGATTTACTAGTTGCCTCCGTAGCTCCATGTTTCCTACAGCTTGGAAAGAATCAAGATTGGTCCTCTTGAAGAAAGAAGGCAGGGCAGCAGAATCTCCCTCTGCGTACCGTCCCATATGCCTGTTGGACGAGATTGGAAAGTTGTTTGAGAGAATTCTTGCCGCTCGTCTAAATAGGCATCTATCGCGTGTCGGTCCCGATCTGTCTGAAAGCCAGTTTGGTTTCCGAAAGGGGCGTTCTACGATAGACGCGATCATGCGCGTCCGCTCCCTGTCGGATCAGGCAGTTTTCCAGGGTGGTGTGGCGTTGGCGATAAGTCTAGACATCGTCAATGCCTTCAATTCTCTACCCTGGCATGCCATCATGGGGGGGCTTTCTTACCACCAAGTGCCCCCTTATCTCCAAGGCGTTATCGCAGACTACTTGCGCGATAGGTACATATTATATAGGGACAAAGACGGCAACAAGATCCGGAGGGAAATTCACTGCGGAGTTCCACAGGGATCTGTTCTCGGCCCTTTACTGTGGAACGTGGCCTATGATGCTGTCCTGCGTGTCGATCTCCCCTCTAATGTGAACGTCGTTTGTTACGCGGATGACACATTAATAGTCGCTATCGGGGATACCTTCGAGAGGATCAAAGACCTCGCCGAGCTTGGGGTGGTAACCATCGTCACCAAAATTGATGAGTTGGGTCTAGAAGTAGCGCCACATAAGACCGAGGCGATGTGGTTCCATAAAATGCCACGAGGCAGGGAACCACCCAACTCATGTGTCCGTGTGGGTGGGTCTGAAATCAGGGTAGGTCGGTACATGAAGTACTTGGGCCTAATCCTAGATAGCCGCTGGGGTTTCGAAGAACACTTCGAGCGCCTAGTCCCCCGGATCGAGAGGGTGGCGGGTGCAATGCACAGACTGCTACCTAATCTTGGGGGACCAAGAGAAGAAGTTCGCCGCCTCTATGCTGGGGTTGTACGATCCGTAGCCTTATATGGGGCACCTGTTTGGTCAAAAAGGCTCGCCATCCGACGTTGCAGGTCTAAGATCTACAGTGTCCAGAGGCGGATGGCTATACGGATCGTACGAGGGTACAGAACTATATCCTTTGAGGCGGCAACTGTCCTGGCTCGCTTTCCACCTCTGGACATACTGGCGGAAATGGACGCAAGGGTGTACCACCGAATTCGAGCCCTTCGACAGAGTAGTGGCAGCGAGCCAGAAGAGGCGCTCGAGTCGATCAAACGACAGGAACGGCATTCTGCTTTCTTGGAATGGCGCGCTCGGCTCAGCCAAGAACACTACGCACATAAACGCGTCGTGGAAGCTATCCTGCCAGTCTTCAAAGCCTGGATGCAGCGACAGGTAGGCAGGCTCACCTACAGACTTACACAGATAATCACTGGGCATGGATGCTTTGGTGATTATCTGTGTAAAATCGGACGTGAGGCGACGGCAAATCGTTTCCACTGCGATGGAAGCTACCAGGATTCCGCAACCCATACCCTGGCGGTATGCCCAGCATGGGAGACAGAGCGGAGTATCCTGGTAAGCCTCATTGGACTAAACCTTTCCTTACCAGCAGGTGTATCGGCGATGTTGAGTCGAGATGCAGCATGGAGGGCCGTAACCTCCTTCTGCGAGACCGTGATGGTCAAGAAGGAGGCTGCTGAGAGGGACCGAGAGAGAACAGATCCCTCTCGGAGACGGGGTCACCGAGACGAGGGTACACCTCGTTACGGTCCTCCATACATAAATGGTGTTCCCCTACCGGAAACGGGGCCTCAGGGATCGCGGGCAACTGGGCCGCTTTAGGTCAGTACAGCGAACCTAAGGGCGAACCAATGGCCTGAAGTAGGCTCAAGCTATCGTGGTTTCACCACAAGGTTGGGTGATTATATGAATGGGACGAGGCTACCTAAGCCAAGCCGAGGGGGACCGCGGTAGTGTGACAAGTGGAGATCCCGTGACCCCCCATAAAAGCTGATGGCAACCACCGTGGGGTTTTAGTCGGTGTGAGTCCGACATAACCTGACTTACCCTATGTGGGAGGCCAGGCATCCATAATGGATTTCCCCACGAATAAAAAAAAGGGCTCAACGCTGCCTGTATCTTAAAATAAAAGTTATTTTCAGCCAATCCTGCAAATTGACTATTTCAAACATTCCCCGAAAGTCTATAAGACGTATGTTAGAGACCATCAAAATAAGGATCTTAATGACCTGCTTATCAACATTTAATGTGTATGTACATAACGACGTTCTCATTCTTCTGTGTTAGGGCCATAAGAAGTCTATTTTTAGATGAAGGAGAGTTTATAATGGGACAGTTTATGATGGTTTCCTATTGCAAATAGTCTCTAAATACCGCAATCACAATATACTAAGATTTATTATCACCGTAACTCATTTATCTCATATCTTGCTTTCCCGGATTTATTATTCAATTTCTTCAATCGCTTCCAGTCCTTGAAACAACTACGTGTGAGACTTATTGTATTGTGTGCACAGACAAAACATAAGATCAATACTTGTGAATTGAATTTTATCTTTTTTCACAGTTCACTTTTAGTTCTCAGCGTTTGAAGCTATGATATTTATGTACAAGATTTCTTTAAACGAAATTTTAAATTCGAATTCTTCAGTGTAAATACAAAGTAATTTTAAGATTAATAAGCAAACTTAACATTAATCAAGTTTCCAAATAGAAAATAAGGTCAAACGGAAACTCGGACTCGGCAAATGATCTGGTGCGGCAAAATATTAATTAATAAAGTTTAGCAGCAGGTAGTACTTTAATAAATCGTCAGTACTTTTGTAATTGACATTTTAATCAACGTACAGATAGACCGCGGGACAAAATTATAAATGTTTTCGATTTGCTTTCCATCTCCTGTATATTGCTTACTTCTATGTAATGATTGATTAATTAATATTTTTTCTTATATTTTATTGTATAAAGAAAAAAATAGTACTATAGTAATCATTTTTTTTTCATTTTCCCTTATTTTAGTAGAATTCAATGATATTGTAGGTTCACCAATACATAACTGCCAAGTATGCGGCGGCCGCATATTTCTTACATTCTGTGTCGAAATCGTTTCCACCGCGGAGTTTTGTTGAACGGTGGTGTCCCGTACCACGGAAATATCGGTGACGCTTCTTTCGGACTTTGCTATAACTCACTAACACAATGAGCTAATGGAGACTTGGGTTAGGTTAAGTTAGCTCTGGGTATTTTTATATCGTAAATCATTTCGGCTGTTTGAGTCAACTGATGAACATAGGCCGCCCCCACAGACTGTCACGAAGCACAATCCTAAGCAGCCTGCATCCATCGACTTCCCGCCCTTTTACACAGGGTAATACTCCATCTAATAACATTAATTGTAATTTTTATATAGACGATCATAAACTCGTACAAATTATGATAAGAGCATTGTAATATTGGCCACATACTAGTTACAATATCAATGACAATGTTTAAATATTTAATACAAACTCAGAATTCCTTTATGAAATCA